AGCACCTGACGTTACCAGACTAAACGAGATGGACGCAGAAGAACTGCAGAATATAACTGATTATTTTGACGGAATCATAACGGCAACAAACCCCGACATCAACGCCACTGCTCCTTTGCAACATCCTTCTGGTATCCGCCTGAGCGCTGTCGCCGATTGGGATACAGACTACGTCAGTCTTGTCAATAAAGTGCAACGCCACACAATATGCAAGCCAGAAACATGCTTAAGAAAGGACAAGAAAACCGGTCAACAAAAATGCCGGTTTGACTTCCCGCAAAAGCTGCTCGCTCTCAGCGCTTTGTGCGCTACAGAAGGAAAGTGGGGCTACACTCCCAAAAGAAACGACCCTCGAGTCAACCGCCACAACAGAGGAATTCTGCAAGCATGGAGAGCGAACGTGGACGTTTCTGCAATCACTGATAAGCAGGCCGTTATTAACTACGTCGCGAAGTATGCCTCCAAAGCAGAACCTAGATCCGCCACCTATGCAGAAATCTTTCGCACAATTTTGGATGCGGGTGCCTCTGCATCTGATAAAGCGAGAAAATCAATTCAAAAACTGCTTACTAAATCCGTATCAGAGCGAGATATTTCTGCACAAGAATGCATGCATCTACTGATGGGACACGACTTGTACCGCAGTTCGCGCAGTTTTGTCAACATCACATTAAAAAATGACGAATGGATCCCCTTGACAAGTGTACAAACTGATGATGAGTCACCCGAAGGCCAAGGAAAAACAATCTTGGAGAAATACAAGTTGCGTATTCCGGAGATGGAAGAACTGTCGCTATTTGTAGTGGCGTCAAAATATTCTTGGTCTCGACAGAATTGGAAAAAAAGAGCGGAAAACAAGGAAGCAGTTGTGCGTGTATTTCCTCGACTAACGCTTACAGGTAACCTAACCAATCAGTAATGCAATAAACGTGTTGATATTTCAACACTGGATATTTACAGGCGACGCAAACAAAGACGAAGAGTTCTACCGGCAGAAAGTTTTGTTGCATTTACCTTGGAGAAACTCCGATTCTGTCCGTGACCCTGAAGCAACATGGGAAAGCATTTATATAACACTTGACATCCCCAGAGAAACCGACTTGCCCGATGCAGAAGAAAACACTGACTTGTCTGACAACGAGGAAATCGATGAGCATCGCGAACAAGAAGAGCATATGGTTTTGCAAGGGCTCGCACCGCATGCTGATTTGCCAAAAGTGGAACTGGGCACCCGCCAGATCGATAAGGATTTTGACTGGACCGCATCGTACGACCACTTCGCCGGCATTGGTAGCGCTAACACTTTTCTCGAAAGGATTAAATCTGAAGGGAACGAAGCGGACGATCAACATCATCTACCACTTAATATACTGCTCTCCGGTGAACAGCGCGCTGTATTCGATTATTTTTGCGGACAATTGGATGGAACGGTGGAACATAAGCTTACCGTGGTCCAGGGGAAGGCTGGAAGTGGCAAATCGACTGTAATTTCATTTTGCACGGACAGACTTCGAACCTCAGTTGGATACGGGCCGAAGTCATATAAATTATTAGCTCCCACGGGTGTTGCAGCCAATAATATTGAAGGAGAAACAATACACTCGGTTTTACATATCCCCGTAAACAAAAAGTTTGTGGATTTAGAAGGCGAAGAGCTGAACCGTTTCCAGGCAGAATTTGAAAATATACACTGTTTGATCATCGATGAGTTCAGTATGATCGGATGCTCATTGTTCGCAAAAATGGATAAGCGATGCAGGCAAGCGAAGCCGGAAAACTCGGATATACCGTTTGGTGGCTTAATTGTATATCTATTTGGGGATATCAACCAGTTACCACCGGTGCTCGACAGACCACTGTATGGGGACGGCTTTAATGGGGAGCTGGCAGACTACGGTCAAATGGTATACCGAACTGCTTTCAATAAATGTTTTATTCTTCAAACGTCCCACCGGCAAAGCGGCGGCAACACTGACCAACAGCATTTGCGAGATGCTCTAGACCGCATCAGCACCGGTGACTCAACGGAAGAAGATTACAACAAAATGATGACCAGAGTTTACTCGCTTTTGCCCGCGGAAGAGCAGATTAATTTCCGAGGAGCGTTACATCTGTTTTCGGAAAGAGAGCCAGCCAAAAACTACAATGAGAATGCGCTAACACAGCTTAACATGCCGGTGGCCAGAATACGGGCGGACCATAACGGAAACACTGCGGCGAAAGGTTAGTTTACATGCCAATATATTTCTGCAAACAACCTTCTTATTTCCTATTTATCACATGGAGATATGGATATCTGTCTATTCAACAGGAACCGAAGAGCAGGCGATGGGTTTAGAGCCCACTTTATACCTGTCACGAGGCAGCAGAGTCATGCTCAAACGAAACCTCTGGACTTCAAAAGGGCTCGTTAATGGTGCGTTGGGATATGTCAGGGACATTGTGTATGAACCCGGAACATCGCCGTCTGATTCCGTGCCGTACGCCATTTTTGTGGAATTCGATAAGTACACTGGACCAACGTTTGCAAATAATTGCGTGCCAATAACGCCCATAACTACCAAGTGGATGGAAAAGTCTCAAAGCTGTTCCAGAACACAATTCCCATTAACTTTGGCTTGGGCCATTACAATTCACAAAGGTCAAGGGATAACATGCGACAAAGCCGTGGTGCATATTGGAAAACGCGAATTTGCGTCGGGACTCATTTACGTCGGATTTTCACGCGTTAAAACCTGGAGCGGTTTGGCCATTGAACCAGTCTTTCCGTATCTTTTGTTGCAGTCCATAAAACATAAGAAAGCCACTCAACAAAGAAAGCGGGAATTAGAGCGGTTAAAACGCATGGCCTAAAACTCAAATAGCCAATCTGTGGGTTTGCGCATAATCAAATCCAGTTCATTATGGCCACTATTAACTGTCTACGTTATTGTGACGTTAGTACAAATACTTTTGCAATAAATTTACTGCAAACGTTCTGGGATGAAAACCATGTCTAGCTTCGCTTCGGTCTTTCAGTGCTAGCCTAAAGCGGTGCACTTTCCTAGTTAACTGCGTTTTATTGTATAATATCACGAACGAAAGTGTGTTGCCTTGGATAACTTTATTCAAATTAAAAAGTACAAAATTACACATTAAGCTAAACAAATCTGCATGTGTGCCGGATTTATTTGTGTTATAGCGCGTGCGGATGCGTTGAGCTTCGCGCAAATGTGTTAAGTTGCGCCAAATTGCGTTGGGTTGCGTTAAGCTGCGTTGGGTTGTATTAAGTTGCGTTGGGTTGCATGGAGTTGCGTTGGGTTGCATGAAAATGCGTTGAGTTGCGTTAAGTTGCGTTAAGTTGCGTTGGGTTGCATGGAGTTGCGTTGGGTTGCATGGAGTTGCGTTGGGTTGCACGTAGTTGCGTTGGGTTGCATGGAGTTGCGTTGAGTTGCACGTAGTTGCGTTAAGTTGCGTTAAGTTGCGTTGGGTTGCATGAAGTTGCGTTGAGTTGCGTTAAGTTGCGTTAAGTTGCGTTGGGTTGCATGGAGCTGCGTTGGGTTGCAAGGAGTTGCGTTGGGTTGCACGTAGTTGCGTTAAGTTGCGTTAAGTTGCGTTGGGTTGCATGAAGTTGCGTTCAGTTGCGTTAAGTTGCGCTGGGTTGCATGGAGTTGCGTTGGGTTGCAAGGAGCTGCGTTGGGTTGCAGTACTTGCGTTGGGTTGCATGCAGTTGCGTTGGGTTGCGTGCAGCTGCGTTGGGTTGCATACAGTTGGGTTGGGTTGCATGCAGTTGTGTTGCGGTTGCGTTGGGTTACGTTGGGCTGCATAGGTTACGTTGGACTGGAAATTTACCAATTTTCGTGGCAAAACAAACCGTGCCACATGTGGCGCAATCCGAGGGAAACCGAGAAACGGCTGAGAAAGGCGCCGATGGGGGAATCGAACCCCGGCTACGTCGTTAGATCCGCGTAGGCAGTACCACTGCACCACGGCGCAATACGTTTACGTTGAAATCATTTGAAAGACTTTATCGCTGTACGTGAGCCGCTTCTCGCCTCACACTTGTTTAATGGCTCCTCGTGCGAATCGGCGTTAGAGTGCGCGAAAATGCCTCTGACAGAAGTGCTTCTCGTTAAACCCTCTGTTTTAAGCGCCTGCACCTTCGATGCAGATGTTGAGTGCAGCCGATTGAGAAGACTGCTTAACTTTATATGCACTTTAATATGCAGAGCGGCACTCGCCACACATTACCAGAATTTCAGGGTTACTAATGTATTACCGTACTTCCTTACGGCAGGACTACTAGTACACATTGCAATCAAGGTGAAGTATTTCATTGATGTGATTGATTTCTTTCATACCTGAGGCCAGTACTGTTAACCGGCATAATTACACATAGGGTCGATGATACGAGAAACGGGCAGAAATTTAGCTACGTGGTACTCGAACTTCCAAGCACTTTAAGCTATAATAATAATTATTACAGCTACGAGTACTGCGTAGTTCAGCTCTGCCGGTAATTATAATATAATTTGCAATGCATTTAAAAATAATTCTGTTTTATTTATCGGCAGAATGGCGTTTTATTCATACTAGAGCCAAACCGTACTAGCACTACGGCACTGCGGTATTTCAATACAATAACATGTGTAGAATTAAATATGAAATATGCACCTGTTCTGTTACTTGCACCGTTGTACGTATGTACAGTACATTATGATTATACAGTATACCGGCAGTATTTGATGTGGGGTCTGTGGAGGCACAGAAGCTGGACGCCAGGACACCGTACGATTGACAGTGAAAGTGTAGCATGAGCTCACTGTCGGGAGGATCAATACTACTGACCCAGAATGTGTGCACGGCTGAAAACTATCGATTGATTTGTATCGAGTTTGAAATACATAACGTATGAATTGCGCCCGCTTTATACGTAGTGTACACTCAACATTTGCTCCACGTTCAAAACTAAAAAAAACTGTAACTTTTCCCTTAGGTGTCAATATTGTTGTTGTCAAAAACGCATCTAATCAGCGTGTATTCTGATGACGAACGGTACCGAGTGATATTATTGGTTACGCACGCGAATCGGTCAGTGTTTGATTTGGTGAAGTGAGCATTACGGCTTTGGAGTACCAATTAAGTCCTTTCTTCGCATTGGCGTTGGCTTTTTTCCGCCGGTGAACGAGTGTTTCTACGTGTTGATATGGACGATAAGAGCTGCAGCCAGTGTCAGCTGCCAAAAGGTCCCCAACATGCCAGATATGAGCATCCCAGTGCCGCTAGCTTGTCGTTTCTGGGAATTGCCCGACACAGTGCCCACCGCCGTGTCTGCTCCTGTCATACCAACTTGTGGTCACGAGCCGTTGCAATTACCAAGCTGGCGGCAGTGGGTTCGGCACTGCTCCTCCTGCGCATCACCGCCATTACGCTGGCCACCATCTACAGTACCGGCTATGCGTTTCCCAAAACGGTGCGTATGCTGTCGTCGACTGCGTAACTCGGTGACTGCTTAAGGAAAATGGCCTGGTACATAATGTCAAAAATGGGATACATACACTAAACCTTTCGCTTTCGCGCACTCCGAATCACTTTTTTGTAATACTTTATGTCATTCTAAAGCAAAATTATTTGTACACATTGTTCTGAAAACCGTTTGCGCGTGCAACATACGGTTGCAGAGATATGGCGAACTAAAATAAGGAAATTCTGAATGCATTATTGTGTAGCAAACGTCTGGTTATTAACCGATCTTCTTGAGACTTGGATGTAAAAGACATATGACCACAAAATCGAAAGTGAACCAATTTCAGGTTCACAGCACTCTCACATAACTTTAAAATGAATTTTAAAATTTTTGAAATTTATTTTAAAATCGGAAAAAAATGCTTTGTATACCTAAGAATACTGTATGAATACTATTTCTGACACCATGTACCGGACCATTTTCCTTAACTGCGGGGATGTGCTATATATATCTGGTTTTAGGTCGAGAAAGACCGTGTCAGTGTGCAGCGACGTGTTCTATGCGTTATGCTGGTGCCCTCCATCGTGTTTGGCCTGTGCCCGATCGTTGCGCAAATTATTTCCATGCTGCTCATGGCTGCCGTGAAAAAATTCCACATAAAATCTTTAAACAATCCCCTAACGTCCGATGCGTCCGCCGTCACCGCGGTTAATCTCTGCAATATTCTGTACCACGCAGCAGTATACAGTAGTTATCCTGCGGTTCTACAATCGATCTTTACGGCTTACTTCGGTATGTGTTATTATCATCCGGATGTCCGCGATCTACTGGAAGGCCAACACCACCTGCTGATCTTCGTACTCATCATGGAGACCGTCGGCTACGTTGCCAGCCATTGCTGTTACCAAGAGACCGAAGCGTTGAGAACGGCGATCCTTACTGCTTGGTACAACGACAAAATGAAAGCTGACCCAGGGCAGCGCTCTCCTTTGCCGTCGGAAGACGTTATTCTCTACTTTCTTGTGCTCTGTGCTGAACAATGAACATCGATATTAATTCACACCGCCGCGCCAAATCTTTGATTTGTCGCAAAAATATAAATGGAACAGCTGCTTAATGGCGTGAGTAACTGCCGTTCCGCGCCTAGGGCTATGCTTGACGTACGGAAAAATGTTCGGTCACGCAGAAGATATCCTACAGAATGTAATCCACCTACTATATTAGTAAACGCGAACTTGGACACGAGTTGTTGTCAGTCACATTTAAAATGCTTTATTCTACCGAGCAGTAACCGTGCGCCATTTTTTGTTCGTAAAGGCTTTTGATGGGATCATTATTTTGAGGGAAAAACTTCTACCGATGTTTTGTTGTTTGTTTGATCAGCTTTACTTCAACACCGATCTGGAGTAACCTGCACGAAGTTGTAGAGTTGTAGACAAACGATGAGCTGTCAAAGACGCTTACAAAATGTTTTTGAATTATGGCAAAATTACAGCATATCGACATAAAAACAGAAGTGATCACAAAAAAAACAAAAATAGTCAACAATATCAATATGTAATCAGTACACGCTGTACACCCCTTTTCAGGACACCCATTAGGCTTGTTAATAAAACCAACAAAACCTATTAAGAAAATTGAGACATGCTTGTTAGTTATGGTGTCCCAGCTCACAAAAATCAGAATGTCGAAGCATTTCCGTACCTACACAAATATTAAAATGCATTCAGTGAAAATACGGTATTACCGACGTTTTGCACTTTAGGTAACCAGATATCGCTTAGGATACGGCCACACCCTCCCCCCTTGGCGGCTTGGCCGCAGCATAAGACTCGCTACGCCTCCGTAAGCATGATGAATCAGGAATCATTTATTGATGTCAGAACCGTTCTCCAATTTCATTATGCCTTCTTTCACTTTATCTGTTTAAATTTAAATCTAGTGTATTCATAATTTTGAGCTATTTATTCTCTTCTCCGTGTCAAGATGCCCAAGCAAATCTACCAGTCGAACAGCGTAGAAGTTCTGGGCAGCGGCGGTCTCATGCGCTACGGCCGCGTGGTGGAAGTGACTGACAACGGGTTCTTCGTGGATTTTCTGTGCGACCAGCAGCGACGCCAGTTCTTCGCATTCGACAGCGACGTCTTTCTATCGGACACAAAAAGATGCATCGACATCGAAGCGTTAGTGCGAACACGGATCGATGCCAGCAACATCCCAATTGAAGCCCTGATGCGGGAAGAACCCGGGTTGCCATGGACGTGGTACCCCGCTGAAATGTTGGTAACCGAGCGCGGTCCGCGGAACCAACGCCGCGATATGGCAACCGTTCGTTGGGGAAATAATCGGGGACGTATTGACATCGTCCCATTCGAGCGAATCCGTAAAAGAGTGGCGAGCGCTAAAGAGCCAACATTATCCGTATTAAAATCGAGGAAAAGTGGCGGTCTGCCTCAGCGTGTTAGCAGGGAGACCTTCAAGCACACTATACCGTTCCCGTCCGATTGTCGCTCGCAGTTGTATAACAATCCGCCTTTGCCAATTCCGGACGAAGATACACCGAGTGTGTTACCGGAATTGTGGGTCGAAGTCTTTTCCCATCTGGACACGTTCACGCAGACCCAGCTGCGCGCGGTGTGCTCATTATGGGCTGACCTATTCCTTTCTCCTGCATTAACCAATATCGTTCGAGTATCGACGCTGCAGAGCTCAAGTGTCTACTCAATGTTGTCGCCCATCTGTCGTTGTCTGAGTGCTTCCACGCAGCGCGTTATTATTGACAACCGTCCACACCCGTTAATGCAGTATATGCTCTTTAAAGTCCTCGACCTCATACGCTGCGTTGCGCAGCACAATCCCGACATTCGACTGGACACCATTTACTTGCTGGGTTGGCATTGCACGTTCGACATCGGCCCCAGTCAGCCGATGCGTGAATGTGGGCTACACGGGTCGTCCTTAGCGCCCACCCAGTTGCGTGTCGGTGAAGATGATTTTCATAGCATTCGTCTGGAGGATTTTCTGGCCACGTGCCGGATGATACCCTGTCAAGCCATCCAGTGGATTGATTCCAGGATCCAGCTGAATGATGCAACGTTCTGGTACCGGGACGCGTGGCAGGGAAAATCGGCTGATATATCCGCCTGTCGCATGTCGATGAATTCTCTGGAATGTGCCTTGTGGGAGGCGTTCGAAAAGGGTTTCCCGGAACCTGAAGCAGAGAAGCTGCAGAAACTGGGCGAACGTCTAACGGGCATGCGAGACAATGTTAACCGAAGCGAATTCATTGGCATGGTAAGCTTGAAAACACCACTTGTCTTGTAAGAAAACCAAAAAAACCATAAGAAACCTTCATAAAACCTAAGAAAACTTTACGAAACTTAAGAAGCCATAAGAAAACTTGAGCAAACATAAGAAAATATAAAAAACTGAGAGCACAGAGAAAAGTAAGGTGCGTATATTTGTTGCAGTTATTGTGTGCGACGCAGACCGCGGATCCACGTCCGGCGTTGAATTATCGCGGGAAGAAGTGGTGCGTGGATGGCTGGCAGGATTTTCGCGTGGAAAATTTGTCGCGGATTGCGCTGCATTTTCTCATTGAAAATTACGTGGACAGGAGGGTGTTGTGGTGAGACGCATACAGAATAGTGAACCTCATTGAAGTGCGTTCACTGGTTCAGCCTTGTTAAAAAAACAGCTCTTTTGCCATTGCCATTAATTTTGTTGATTCTGCTTTTGTATCCGTAGTGCGTGATGAACAGCGCTGTTTCACTTGCTTACTATAGTATTTTTTCTCATTAGCCGTCTTGCTTTTGTGCTTCGAATTACGCTGTACATGTAAGTAAGAATCGTTTTTTTGTCGGTCATTTTGATTAAAATCAGTATGTACAGGCAAAACAAACTATAATCGAGAATATCGCCGGCAGACGCTGCTACTAGAATAGCACATTCGGGGTACTGTATAATACGAGCTGCAGCAAACCGATTTTGAAGAAAACTGGACGTGATCAACTGAGACCTACAGGTTAACAAGATTTAATGCATTGACTAGCCTCCTTGCTATCAAATTAATACAATCTAAGCAGAACCATAAGTACTCTCTATGGTCGTTAAATTTTTGCTCTCCAAAGGTGTAGCACGTCGATTCCTGGATGTCTGTTTTTGTGTCTTGACAAATTAGCACTACTAATAAATGAACTAAAATTATTAAATTAATATTTTTTGACACAGTTTCGTTTTCTCGTATTGCTCATTAACGCAACTTCCTGATCGATTACCGACCTGCCATTAACTTTCTTTAGTTTCGCTCCTCATTGATCAAAAGTTTCTTATTGGTTTTTTTGGGGTTTCTTAGCTTTTTTCGACAAGTGCTGTACTCAGAAAAATATGACACAGAATTTTGAGAAGATTCGTGAACCTAAAGCTGACCTTGTCAGTCGCAAATTGGTAGTCAAGTTCGACATGTAAACACTGAGAGACAGGAATTGCGAAATATGGTTTTTGTGATCAGCTTATTATACAGTATTTGTATTTTTATCAATTAAATAACGAAGTTACTAATTAATTGCAAAAAACATACCGTAGGACGGTCTGCACTTTGCTGTGCATTTATGATAAATGATAATGGTCACAAGTTTATTATTAGTGACTTTGCCGGAAATCCGTCATTACAGTCTCCAGTAGTATATTAACAGCATTAACGCACAGCGATTTTCAGCTGCACAGGACAGTACACAAAACGAAGCAGAGTTAGCAAAATTGCAACGTCTACTACGACAACGAGGCACACTGTAAATTAAGAGTTCCATGGGTTCCAGTTGGTGAAGATTTTTGCATCCGGACGGCCGAAGTTCCTTACGGGATCACATCTTCTTACCTGTGCAGGGGTGATCTTTCATCTTCAGGTTCATTCCAGGGTATAGAAATGGTTCGTATCCGCTCTCGTATCTTCGGTTAGGTTTGCACCGATACGCGTATAGTTTGCTGCAGCAGGCGGGTTGTGGTCCAGGAGCGTAAGCGTTAAGGGGGCTTCCGTGTTGCTGGGCTTGGCCACTGCCGGGATTCTACAACGTGCAACCCGAACGCAAATTAAAAAAAAAAATCGAACTATAAACAACTCTGTCTAGTTGCATCAGTAACTAGTTTAGCGACACAGTGACACTCACCTTACAGAAAACCACGGCGCAAAAGGTCAAGCAAAGGAGCACGATTTTCAGATCCATGATAAAACAGGTACGTTACAGCTGAGAAAAAGGCAGTTATTCACTTTTGAGTTTACTTCTAACTTTTTTCAAAGTGATATGGAAGGATATGGAACAGCAAAGTTTATATAGTTTCCCGTTCACGCTTAAGCACATGGTGCGCTATGGTTGTGCCAAATAATTTGCTGATAAGCACCCTACTTTTCCAGACATCCACTTAGGTATACCATTTTTGAGACCAACGATGCCACGTTTCTAGTTCCTTGAAATCTATGCTGTGGTGGTTTTAGTATTCCGCAACGGCACTTGAGAACAGGAAAATATTTATCGGAAGCGCTCTGCTCACGTAGAAAATTTGGTTTTTCATGCTAGCATCAGCTCTACTACGCGAGGCTGACTTAAAGTGCTTCGCAGTAGAGCGCGCATCGTATTTTGTCATGTTAATCAAATCGTCAGGATTTCTTGCAGATTCAGCTGCTCTGTGTGCGGCATCACTTAACCGTCTTCCGTTCCATAATTTTGGGAAGAAGAATTTATCCGAAAACGTCTGAGGTAGCACTGGGGCCTTTGCGTTTTTTGATGAAAAATAATAACTGTAATAACATTGAAAATACATTGAAAATACCTTTTATCTTTTAAACGGCGAAATTCGGTACACTATTACAGTGTATTCACTGTATTGTATCCTGTACGTAGAAAATGTCGTTATCCAGAGTAATAAAATTGTGTACAAATGCGTAATAAAATTTTTAGCCACGCAACGCATGGATCAGTAACTATAGATTTTGCAAATATGTACAGCACAAAAAAAACAAGGCACAGATTATAAATAAATCTAGTGTTCGTTGGTCGATAACTGCGCCTACACCTGTGCCTACAAGATATGCTGTGAAGTATGTAGAAAGTACGTAATAATAATAAGTAGCTTTAATAATATATGTTCACTGCAGCTGGCCAACAAGATGACTGAATCTGTAAGAAGTCGAACAGTACAGCAATAGAATGCAACATGAGTTGCTAGGATGTAAACAACATGTGTACGGAGTACAATAACAGGAATTCACGAGACACCACATATGCTTATGTAAATTATTGTTCATTAAAGTTATATAAATTATAAGTATCATGAAGAAGTTGACTGTAAGTCGGCGGAATTTAATTTAAGTATTTAATTAATATAACTTATTTAAGTTTTTCATTACATTTAGTATCAGTGTTTAATTCCCGGTGATTCTCGCAGCCGATGGAAACATTGATATTGTATAGGAAATCACTCGGATTACGCCGTTCGGTGCTTTAAACCGACATTGTTAGCAACTTAGCGTGGATAGGAAGAAAATTGTTGTGAGTCATACGGCGACATCTTATTCAACAGACTTGTGACTCAGACACACAACAGGGAAGCGTCGTGGTCAGCGGTCATAAACCGTAGGAAAATGGCAAAAAAACACACTAATAGCACCATATGCGTCACGTATGTAACGGTATTTTTATCTTTTTCTTGTGTCCGATTCAGGTAATTCGGCGCAGAGATCAGTCTTAATATCGATTTTCAGCGCAGCATACAAGAACACGCTGGATGACATCTTCCGGGGGTACCGGAACGCGACGACCAGGGCAAGCCCTCGTTTTGTCCGTGTACCACTTCGTAAGAATCGCCGTTCGCAAGGCGACGGTATCCTGGTGGCAATAATGGCTGGCCAAGTAGCCGACCGTTTCCAAAGCCAGTATGAAGAGCAGGATGCGGTGTTGGCCTTCCAGGAGCTCAGTATCACGGACCTCAAGAAAATGATACCAGAAACTAAAATAAACCGTGAAGGCCGATTGTAGCACGGGAGGGTAGCTGCTGAAAATCGCTGTCTGGTTTAGAATACCGCAGAGATTGACGGCTTTTACAGCTGACAAATCATAGGACATGGCCGTTTGTAGTGGATAATGTGAAAAATTTCCGGGGAATTTTCTCACTGTCGCCAAGAGCAACACGGCAACAGTTTGCGAAATAAGCGGGAACACACCAAACGGAAACGAGGGAATGTTCATGGCGCACAAAACGAGGCGCTGCACATAAGCACGGTCTTTCTCGTCCTGAAACCGAAACCGTTATCAGAAACAGACGAGTTTGTATGTGATAGTAAATTTACCGTTTTGGGAAAGGCATAGCCTTTGCTGTATACGGTAGCCAGTGTAACGACGGCAATGCGAAGGAAAACCAGTGCACAGTTAATTGCCATGAGCTTGTTTATATCCACAGCTCGTTCCCGCAGTGTCTTATGGCACAGACAGACGCGCCGGTGGGAACTGCATGTGCATCCAAGGAACGATAAGCTGGCGGCGCAGGGATGCACATATCCGGGATTTTTATGATTATTTGGTAAGTGACACTGGTTACAACATCCATCGTCCATATTAGCGCGTTAAGGCAATCAACAGCTAGTTAAAAGACATGCGTATTCCAAAGTGCAGGAACAACGGTTTTTATTACAAGATCGCTTCCCTAAATCAAAAGGTTGGTAAACCATATGGACAGTGTTACCGATACATGCAAAGGCAGACTGCATTAACATGAGAAAAATTCAAAAAAAATAATTTAGTTTCGATAAGGCTCGTACCCCGAAGAAAAACATTATATGAGTTATTGCAAAATGCACGCGCTACAGTTGGTAACGAACTAATCGATATCTTCCCACCGTGAGCGCATTTATCGGGTCAGCGGCAGTGGCTCAAACAGCAGCTCATCCTACAAGAGCAACGTAAGTACATAAAATTAATCTGCATCTACATACATCCACGATACACATCCATGCATACTTGTACAGTATGTACAAAATGTTGGGATGTACGTACATCCAGTGCACACTCTTCGACAACCAAGCGTATACACGTGTGTACTCACGGCGCATAAAAATTCAATGTTTAAACGTAATCTGGTGTCAGAGTGTTGTGCATAGTGCACAGGATATTGGCACGGACGCCTCACCATCATTGGCTCGGCTTACCATCTGCCAGCTTTTCAAACACGACTGATCGTGTTTGCCATTCGGGTGCCAGCATCGGAACCGTTAACATCGTTTCCTAGCTTTCCTTGGTTTCATGCCCTTTTTCTCACCTTTAGAGATTTGTTTTGATGCTGATTAGCATTTATTTCATTGAAATAAAAGCGATTATTTCGAGGAGATGTTGTTTCCGTTGTCATTTCTCTGTACAGCGTAGACGCTTCTCCGAGATGGTGGAGATGCCTTAAGATCCTCGTCATTCCCTCTAGTTTGCACTCAACAGCGTTCACTCACAAACGCTGTAACACGGAAGTTTCCTCTTCTTCAGTGGAGACCCCGGGTCACCAGCGATAGCCCACAACAACCAGCAGCAGAAGAACCCGTACAGAAGCAAGGAGCGTCGCTGGTTCGGAAGGCACGCGGCCGCCAGCAAGGAGAAGAACCCAGGAACGCGATTTCTTACTCGTAAGCTTTCCTGCTTGTAAGCTCGTAAGCTTACTGCACAGATACTAGTAGATTAATTCTACTGTAAAGTAACCCGAATCATAGGGATCGTACTTTTCCCGAATTAGGGACAATTAAATTTGATACCGTGATTTTTTTTTTTATTTTATGGAATTTTACGATAATAAGGGATTATTTCCCAGTACGAGCCTGCGACTTCTCGTTGGGTCTAACACTTGCGAGGAAAAGGAAGGAAGCGAACGTTTCCGAATAATCTAAAATAATATTTAAACTATTTCGTGGTCGCGATCATTTTACACCAAAATGAAGAACGTTATGGTTGTCGTAATTGACAATGTAACCGTTAAAGTGATAGTCACTGATACAGTGACAGTTTATATCGACGATATTCTGTTATAAAGGAACGATAGTTCCAATAAAGAATTCAGGGAATCTGCTGAATATTGCAGGCTGGCAAAAGTCGACGCACTCACCGATCGTTATCGATACCAGCTATTCTTTTGTGTTGCTCGAGAAGCGGTAAAGCCACACAATAGACTTAGCCAAGCAGGCTATTTATAGCCGCCCAGGCCAAATTTCTATCCTGTACAGCCAAGCCTGCAAAGCGGCGACACTTAAAATGCATTGACCTACAATGCAGTGCATTGCACATATAGTGTAAAAAACCTATTTCGAAATAAGTTTAGAATTCAACTCTGAATTCTATCGTCTGAGTTTTGACGGCATAATGCCCGTAAATCGTTCACCAGTAAGGAAACAACCAGCTATCGATAGACTGAAGCAGGGCGTCGAGGACGTCCTAAAATCAGCCAGTAAGGCATTAAAAGGAATAACCGATGATCCAGCAAAGGCTGGCACGAGTGACGCTACACAACAAGACAAAGTCACCCGTAGTAAAACGAATCAGTTGAAAGGGACAGGCGTGGAAGTTACCCACAAAGTCCTCGAAGATAAACCTCGTAAACCGAGGAAAGCAACCGTAATGGATCAAGGAGATAATCTCCTTGATACACCATTAATGCAGCCACCGGAACAGTTGTTTTTCCGGCCGCTAACTCCCGAGAAAAGCCGACAGGTTAATCCCGATAATCGGGAAGAAGTACAGGCACCTGTGCCAGAGCGATCCGATAGCACTACCGAATCAACGGCCACAACAGGGTCGTTTTCTCAAGTGAGCGAAAGCGAGCTGAATAAATCCGCAACGACGGAAGAAGAAGAAGAACCTGTGACAGTGATACCGACCACCTTGCGTAAAACGCAATCATATACAGCAAATCTGAATGAATTATTGAATTCAGCGGCAAAGCCGGCAACAGGTTCCAGTATCGTGGAATTAAAACAGGCAACCGAAACTATTTCGGCAAATCAGGTATTGATTAAAGATCTGCAGAGGAAATTGGAAGTAGCTGAGGACGAAGTCCAACATCATAAGAACCAGTACCAACATGCACACAGTTCTTTTAAAAATATGGAAAAAATCGTATTGGGTCTGCGGGCCTTAATAGGCGAAAAGGATGCGGCAATGGCCGAACTAAGAGGAAAAGTAGATGAAGCACGCGCTAAGAATTCCGATTTAAATCAGCAAATCGCTGAGAAGGACACCATGCTTGATCAAGTGTGGCAAGAAAATCAACGATTAAAGACTAACAACCTTAATCATATTACCGATCTGAAAAACGTGCAGTCTATGCTGCACGAGAGCCAAATGGAACATAAATCCCTAATTGGGAAATTTAACTCTTTAGCTAAAGATTACCGAACGTTATACGATCGACAAATGAATCCAGAAGCCGTAGAATACGGTGAGCGACCGCTTAGTAGGGCATATGCCGCTAACACCGAAGAGACGCAATTGTCTCGGTCACAGCATACACCTTCGGCAATGAACGAGAGTGGTTCCCGGGAAATGCCGAGCGCTGACAAGCAGCAATATCTCCGCAGTATTTTGCGGGAAGAAATTCAGCGAGCAGGCATCGGACAAAGCAGGACCGTAAGTCCTGTGAGAAAATCGGATTTGGCTGAAGTGATGCGACAGCCCGTACCGCGTCCCAGCTACAACGGTAGCAAAGAGGACATCGATAGTTTCATAATAAAATTTGATCACGCAGCCACCGCAAATCGGTGGACTACAGATGAGAGGAAAATTACGGAATTGGCATACTGCCTTAAAGATGGGGCCATTGTGTGGTACAATGGGCTGATAACTTCCAACGCTGCACCCATCACATATCGTGAATGGAAACAGCAGTTAATCGCCAGATTTGGCGATTCAAAACGATCAGTTAACGCGTTAGCAGAGCTAACAAACCGTAATTACCGACCTGGCCAGGAAACTCTGGAAAGTTACTACCAGGCCATGATGACTTTGCGCGATCGCGCCGGGTTTAATGGCACACCTGAACAGTTTGTATCGTTCCTAATGCGTGGACTAAAGTCACACGAGAAACTCCATGACAAAATGGAAGTCATGCGACCAGATACTCCCGAGAGATTTCTCGAGATATTGCGATATCTGTCGTCTAATAATCCAGAAAAATACGTTATTCCAGTCGGCAATGTCCGACGCAAACAGGACAGAGATACCGACGTAGTCACTGTGCGAACTGCACAAATTCAACCAAAATCGTATGCAGCGGCGGCGGCCAGCCCGCCGCGGCCAAGCAGCAAGCCAAACAGTGGAAAACCGAGTTACGGCAATCGTAACAATAATAATAATAATATTCGTAGTAATATCAGCAAAGCTGACAGTAATGACAGTCGAATTAACCAAGATGATAATCGTGCACCGTCTCGTAAGGAGCAATGGGCAAATAACATTAATAGGATACAGGAAGTGACTGATCGGTCACCGGCCTTGCAGAAAACTCTGCGTGGCAACAGAGTAGTGAAGTATTGCCAACACTGTGACTTGTGCGGGCATTACTTCCGAGAGTGTCAGTTCCGCGATAAACCGCGATGCGAGAACCCTACATATCTCGCTTATCACGATCCAGAGACTGGAAATCGGCGATATGCCGCCGATTTCTATCAACGCCGTAGTGGTAGTCAGTCAGGAAGCGAACCTAATTCGCCGGCAAGGCAGAGGAGTAATTCCCGCCAAAGTATCGGCCCAGTAGAGGATCGGATACGTCCGACGTCAGGATCACCGTTACCGGATAATAATCCGTTTTCTGGTCTGGTTGATCAGGAAAACGAGGAAGGGCGGTAAATTCCGGCGTTACCGACCCGATTCCACCCAAACCGCCGGATAAAAACGAAGAAATAGTAATCAATGGATTACGAGTAATTGAAACCGATGCCGATGAATTATCGGATAGCAGCAATGCTGATATTAATTTTACAACCTTAACCGATAACGATGAGCCTGGAAGGACCGCACCATTAATGATAAAAGCAATAATAAATTATTGCGAGGTGCCGGTGATGATTGACACCGGCGCAGAGACTTCATTAATTTCCAGCGAATTTGTAAATGAAATAAAAGCTGCAAGAATTCCGTTAATAAAGCCGCTGCATATACGCGGTATTGGTGGAGTACGAGGATTCCTCGTTACACACTATTGCAAAATAGCAATAAAAATTAAGGACTTCGAATCTTTACATTCGGCTTATATTAAGCCAACGACTGATGAAATAAAAGTACTCTTGGGGCAGGATTTCCTGCAAGATAAATTTTATGCCGTTCGACATAATAAATTGCGATATTTAGAATATCAACCCGATAAGAAACCGGGCCCATTAATAATGAGCGAACCGGTGTCGCCGGTTATTCAAACGACAAATACCGTAGAGGAAGAAGTCTTCCCGATACCCGTGGCAACGGGAGAAATTACTGGTGAACTAGTAATATTGGCACAAGGGGCTGTACAAGAGGAAACCGTACCAGTAGAGAGCAAAGTCTTCCCGATACCCGTGGCAAATGCCACAGTAAACAAATCAGAAGAGCATATTAACCGTAAATCGGTGCTGAAAAAACCTCCAAAAATCAGGTTAGTAGCGAAAGCTACCTTTCGGCGCCTTTGGGCAGAGTACAGAGTACTCGTAAAAGAAATACAGGAATTAATTAAGGCTAAAGAGGATGGTACAAATATAATGTACTTGTTTATGGATGATGAAATACCGGTACCCGGTATCGACTCTGCAAAAGCAGCAGAAATCG